TTCAAAGGACAGGGGGGCTAGCTTCGAGATGGGACGACGATATCTCCGATCTTAAGACTCATCGACCTGAACACAATGACTAAGGTTTTTATACTCATTAATAAAATCCACATACTGCTTTTTCAGCTCAGGATTTTTCTGGAACCGTTGTTCCAACATGTAAAATCGACGAAGAGCAATCGCGCGGTTATTTTCCATCTGATGGATAGAATCTTTCAGGGGCAGTTGAACAATATATCGAGCATCCTGGTCTCGACGGGTGGTGGAGCAGAAAATTGCATCGCTGTTCGTCACTAGTAAGAGGATTACAAGATTCTACAGATTCAACAGACCAAAACTTCTCCATGGATTCAGCAAGACTTTGTAAGCCAACAGTGTAAAAATGTTGTTCGACTCGTGAAGAACCAACATCTTCGATGGAACCAGCAACAACCCATATTAAACGGGTTTCTTGAAGGATTGGGAGATCATCCTGCTCTATCAGGCGTCGAAATCGTCGCTTGCCAAATAAATGTGAAGAACAAAGACCTTTGCATAGCTTCACTTTATATTCCACTAAGAACCTCCATTAGTCGTAGTCAACTCTGAGTCTAGTTTCGATTCTTCCATCTAATTCTGGGTGATATGAACTCCCATGGTACGGGTGGGGCGATCTATATGATGACAATAGAGCGACTATTTTTTACGATTTATGCGACGATTTCAACTTGACTATTTTGAACACTGGTGAAGCGACACGTATAGCAAAACCTCTGGCTCGAGAAATCCGACTCGACCTATCTTTGTGTTCAAGATCGCTATCATTGGATTGTATGTAGCGATCATTTGCCAATCATCATTTCAATTAAGTGTGCCTCTCACTCTGCAGAACCATCTCGAGTTCCATTTGATCTTACAAGGAACATACACACTTAGAAATTATCACCGACTTCGGTAATTTTTACCGAAATCTGAACAGCTGAACTGTTCGGTAAAATTTATGCAATGCAATTCAATTGCTTTTCAGCTACTTTGAAACTAAATCTCAACTAAAATGACAAGATTTGATCATTTAAACAAGGTTGAACATGTTTTGAAACTATTTTCAAATTCAATTGCCTTTAAAACGAAGGTCAAAGTTTTACCGAACGTTCAGCTGTTTTGAATTTGGTAAAATTTACCGAACACGAAAAGAAAATCTTTAGTGTATAGATTGGCAGAAATATGCAACGGCGGTGACAATCGGTGCCGAATCAATAGATACGCTTCCACCATTGGAAGAATATCGATTCCTCGCCGATTTGAACTACAAAAGCTCACTGGAAGCACAAAAAAGAAAAGTTCCAAGTGCGCCCTTCAAAAGCAGACCAGCCACACCTGGATGGGAGAATGCACAAAATTGTATGTAGAAAAATCTAATGCTTTCAAAGCTTTTCGTAGACACAAAACCTCCACATACTTCGAGGAATATTCAAAGCTTGAGACAAAGTTGAAACAATTAATTTTTCCTTTTTTTTTTGTGGTAATCACAGTGGCAGCAACTTGCTAAAACTCTACACTGGACCCCTTTTATTGATAAATTTTGCTTCTATGAGCCTCTATTTTAAATCAACACACGGACGTTCCTAGGCTATGGTGCCCGTTTGGTCACTGTTGTTTTTGTGCTGATCCAAATAGTTTTGATAATATAATTGCGCATTCTTGTTTTTTAAAAAGGTTTGTTTTTGTCCCAGTCTTGTCTTCTGTCGTCACTTATTTTGTCATTTTGTCTTGTGTATTAACCCCCACTTGTCTTGTTTATTGTGTCAACTTGTGTCTATTGTCCTTCCCCATCTGTTCTGTTACTCTGTCATGACTAATTTCATTGATATATAAAAATAGTAATATCAATTACAGGATAATATGGTTATTTCTCGATTATTTTTTCAAAGGGAAGCACCAGCTCCTGTAAACAATGCATTCGATCGTCGATCCGGCGCAACCGGTAGCTCGCACACGCTTATCAACACCACCAGCAGGTGGAGGAAAATTTCCCCTATCTGATGATAGTGCCAGCACGCGCGGGCGAGCCACCAGTTACGCCAAATCGACGACCAAACGCACCGCCTACAAAAGCCGATACACTCCCTTGAAAAAGTTATCGAGATTTCTACTAATTAATGAATTATTGACAATTACCTCTCATGATCCTTGGCTCCACTATGATTTTAACTTACCATTTTTTGATTATTTATCAAATACCTCTCCGAGTATATAACGCCCCGATGCCTTGTTGGTTTCTGGTCTCATTTGGATTGGTCCTGAATTTGTTTGATATCCTGTTTGAAGTAATTCTTTGAGTTCCAGCTTGTACGTGTCTCACGTCATATGATTCGCCATTCATAAAGATAATGGGTTAAAAGGGAGTAAAACATACATAAAGGTAGATTAGTATTAGTTGTACTTGATCCAAACAATAGAAAGAAGCATAGATGACTTAGTAGAAAAATAAAACTAATATATAACTAAAAGTGCAATGGATAAGTGTTAGTTCCGGGATCATTTTAGTGTTAGTAGTTATGTTAGTTTTGATCCGTATTCAGCCCTGCTGGCCCCTCAAGCACTATTTGCAGCAATTGTGATAAGATTATGCGACACTGCTACTACTACTATGTTAGATGTATGACTTGTCAATTTTCGCAACGCAATGTCTTTCAATAAATCACTCAATCAATTTGATGTTTGAAAATTTGCTCAAAAGGGCTTTGTTGACACATCATACCTTACCGAAAACTAAAGCACAACAATCCTTCTAAAACTTCACTTGTTCGTAAGCGCCTGGTTGAAGATATGACTTTCGCTATTGACATTGTCTGTAATTTACAAAAGGAAGATTTATTATACAACTTCATAGGCTAGTCGCCTCCCTATACAACTTCATAGGCTAGCCGCCTCCCCCGCGTCCTATCTCTTATGTTAATTAACTTTCTGAATTATCTAATTGAAGTTTATTTAATAAATAACTAAAATCCCTAATCTACCTACACAATCATAACCCATGCTTTTAAACTACAATTTAACGTGTTTCAAGAACTTCTGGCCTTGACATATATTAATTATATCTTTGTTCGTCCCAGGTGACACCTTCAAGTGACTAAAATGCTTCACTTTGAAGTTAGTTTCCAAGCTAATTTTAAATTGTATATTGTATAGGGTAAATGTTCCAATTACGCTCTCACGTTTCCACTATGTGGCACCACAAAAATACATATGGGTATGTCACAATAGAAGCACACCACAGTGGAAATCCCGAGCCATAGTTCAAACACTTATCCCAAATCAAAATGAAGCACATATAAGATTAGTTACAATACCATGTACAAAAATGATGTTTAACATTGTTTCCTGAGTAATACTTCAATGAAAACAACAATGAAAGCTTGTCACGCAAATAGAAGGAGCACTGTTGGGCACTTTCTGAAACATTTCAATAGTACAATTCCCTTACAAACCCAAATTAATATATCTGCGTAAAAATAAATAAAACAAGAGTGATTTGCGGCAAAACCCGCCAGTATCACACCCAACGTCAGTGCCTATACGTAAGCGTACTACGACGCGGCTCTCAATTAAAGGAGTAACAAGTGTGATACTATCACTGCTAGACTAGATCTTTGGTTCTCTCATGCAGTGGTTTATCAGAGAGGGGAAGCCTAGTAATCCCCATTGCCTGTCCATGACGCCATTCTATCGCGGCATGAGCCAGCAACCTACCGTCTCCAACACTCCACTAGCATGAAATTAAGCCCGCCTACCAACAGCAAGGTGCAAAAACTAGCCAAGGGGAGGGACAAAGTTGAAACAATTAATCAAAGCAAAAAAACGCGGTTATTGGCGCAAATTCGTCGAGGAACTCTCACGAGTAACCTCAATGAACACCATGTGGAGGTTTTTTTTTTTAAATTCTTCATTAAGGAGATTTTTAGCCTATGGCTAGTTCATCTCCGGTGTTCCCTGGGCTTTGGCAAAACCTTGAGGTAGTTTAATTAGACTACCAGGTCCCAGGGCTGATCTGGATCTTTACCACATTGGAAAGATGCACACTAGTGTTGCCAGATCAGTGTTGATGCCTACCAAAAGTGCATTTGAACCCGCTTATTAAAGCATATTAACAGATTAATCATCACCGTACATTGTTTATTGCTCTATACTAATACTAAATGATTAAGCACAGCGATATTTTAGTAGGAATGCTGGATTTAGTCACAGTCACAGTAGAAATCATCTTGTTCATGTTTTTTTTCTTTTTTATATATTAAATCTTTTATTGAATTGAATTTATTTCTATGGGTATGCACGTTTGGAAAGTATCATCACAAAGATTCTGCACTTGGTCTACAGCTTGTGGGCGGGAAGCGTTGTTTTTGTTTTTTTTTATCTATTTATAGAGTCACTTCTTAGAAATACGAAGCGAAAGACAAATCAAGAATTAAGCACAAGACCTTAAAAAAAACTAACAACACGAAGTCTGGAAATGGCAATGTTTCATTCAAAACGTCAAGTATTTCAAGAATATCGGGTGAGACCAATCTAATTGTATTTAATCTTATTTTTGTGTAGTAGGATATTCAATTGAACCGCTCCGAGTTATTATGATGCTGTATGATCTTTTAAGCAATTTTCCTAAATTTTGGGGTACAAGGGTTTAAAAATTATGAAATCATAAAGCAAGATTTACAGGTACATATTGCAAAACATGGTCCTCTGTACGTTTACTTTTCAACTTTTATTAATACTACTGTTACTCCGACTATCCCCTACTTGAAACACTATTCCTCCCTATCCGGCATCTTAAGCAGGATTCAATTGATTCCTGTGATTATTATTCTGTGGTGCCAAATCTTTACCTCTACCTTTGTGCTGTATGGACAGTGATGTTTTACTGGAGACCTGGTCCTATGACCCCCTTTTGTGCTTGAAAATGAAAAATGAAAATGAAATGGCTAGTTCATCTCCGGTGTTGTAAAGGGTGGCTCGCAACATGCGTAATCGCTCATCTTCTAATGAGAGTGAAGAATAGTCCAACCGATGGATATTCGATTTCGCTAAAAAGGACTGTCCGGACTCAGTTCCAGCCCAACACATTCTTCGAGAAGCGTCTCCGAGCGGCAGCTCTCTGGATAAACCATTCACAATGCTGGAATTCTCTATGGCTCTTCTTTCATCGAACAACTCAACACCGGGAAGCGATATGATTAAATTCAATCTTCTGAAAAATCTCCCAGATATTGCTAAAAGACGCTTGCTAGACTTATTCAATTCCTTGCTAGAAAATACCATTATACCGCCTGAATGGAGACAGGTCAAAGTAATAGCCATTCGAAAACCTGGCAAACCAGCGTCTGACCATAACTCATACCGTCCGATTGCGATGCTTTCGTGCATTAGGAAATTGTTGGAGAAAATGATCCTTCGCAGACTCGATCAGTGGGTCGAAACAAATAACTTGCTATCAAGTACACAGTTTGGGCTCCGCAAGTGCAAAGGAACAAACGATTGTCTAGCGCTGCTTTTTAACAGATATTTAACTGGCCTTTGCGCACAAGGAGCAATTGGTTTCAGTATTCTTGGACATTAAGGGGGCTTTTGATTCAGTTTCCATTGAAATTCTGGCAGATAATCTGCACAGATGTGGACTTTCTGGAATTTTAAATAATTTATTGTACAATTTGTTGTCAGAAAAGCAAATGAACTTTTCACTTGGACAACTGACAACTTCCAGAATTAGCTACATGGGCCTGCCCCAAGGCTCATGTCTCAGCCCTCTTTTTTATAACTTTTATGTCAAAGATATCGACAACTGTTTGGCAAAACAATGCACGCTAAGACAACTTGCACATGACGGTGTAGTTTCCGTAAGAGGTCCACATGCCGTGGACTTGCAAGGACCATTGCAAAGTTCCTTAGATAACTTGTCTTCTTGGGCTAGGAATCTAGGGATCGAATTCTCGCCACAGAAAACTGAACTGGTAGTGTTTACTCGAAAGCGGTATCCAGCCCAAATGCAGCTTAATCTTTTGGGCAGAAACATTACTCAATCATTGTCTTTCAAGTACCTTGGGTCTGGTTTGATTCAAAGTGCACTTGGAATACCCATATTACGTATTTGAAGCAAAAATGTCAACAGAGGATCAACTTTCTCCGTTCAATTTGCGGCACATGGTGAGGGAGGTGCTCATCCGGGAGACATCATAACGCTTTATAAAACAACTATTCTCTCTGTTATAGAGTACGGCTCTTTCTGCTTTCTCTCGGCAAGAAAATGTCACCTAATAAAATTGGAACGAATTAAATATCGTTGTCTGCGTAATGCTTTCGGCTGTATGCACTCAACGCATAACATGAATCTCGAGGTTCTGGCAGGAGTAACACCTCTCCAGAACCATTTCTGGGAGCTCTCTCTCTCAGAATACTAATCAAATGCGGAGTGACGAACACACTTCCCGAGCAAAGTCTGAGATCAAATTGAAATCTAAATTTGATGTTTTGATTCCGCTGATAATGATTACTCGGGTTGCTGTCGTTTTGGTCGTTTTAACGGTTAAAATATCAAAATTGAGACCAAAAAAATCTTCCTGTGACATCACATTGAAAACTATTTCTGCTATCAGTGAGAGCAAACTGAAAACTAAATTTGATATCAATTTTTCCTGTTGATAACAAAACAAGTATTGAATTTGATGTTATGATAAGGCAATGAAAACAAACCTGCAACAACATTTTTTTGAAGAGCAAATGAACAGCAAAAGGAAAACAACATTTGGTATCAAATTTGTCAATTGCGTAAACTGAAATCAAATTATGATTTCAGTTTGATGTTGATATCAAAACTTGATTTCAATTTTGATGCTGGACTTTGCTCGGGTTATAATTGCTAATTTTGAAGAAATTCTTGGGTTGAACACACAATCTCGATTTATGAGAGTCTACCACCACTACGTATCCTCGGATATGTGTCTTCCTTGTTATATTCCAGACCGTGCTCACTTTACTAATCGCAGTTCCTCAATTAAATATGATCTGTCCATGAAACAAGTGATTCATGGGATTCCAGATCAACTTCGAACTATTGTTATCCCACGTATTTTTACTGAAAAGTACCAACACGTCAATTGCGTGAACATATATTTTACAGACGGGTCTCGTCTCAGTGGATCCACTGGCTTCGGTGTCTTCAATGAAAACTCTAGCGCCTTCCGCAAACTCCAGGAACCTTGTTCCGTTTTTGTTGCTGAGCTGGCAGCAATTAACTTCGCATTGGGGATGATTTCCAACATGCCCGCAGACCATTACTTCATCTTCTCGGATAGTCACAGTTCGATTGAGGCTATTCGATCGATGAAACAAGGTAAGCACTCATCTTATTTCCTTTCAAAGGTAAGGGAGCAGATGAGTGTGCTGGTCGAAAGATCATATATGATTACCTTTGTATGGGTCCCCTCACATTGCTCAATCCCAGGCAATGAGAAGGCGGATTCTCTCGCAAAGGTGGGCGCGCAGGAAGGCGAATTTTATGACAGGCAAATTTCACTCGATGAATTTTACCATTTAGTGCGTCAGAGTACCCTTTCGAATTGGCAAACCGGCATTGGGACAATGGAAATCTTGGACGGTGGTTACATTCAATTATTCCTAATGTTTCTTCGAGAGCGTGGTTTAAAGGCTTGAACTTAAGTCGTGACTTCTGTTGCAATTCTCATGTATTGGTAGTGCAAACTACCTATCCATGGAGGGACTGTGCGCCAACGAAATCAAGATGGTCAGACTAATGTTTCACGTGCATTTATTGCTCCCCCATAGGTCCGACACTTTTCTCCTCATGACGCCGCATGATCCTTCAACTCACTCCTACCAATTCTGTCTTCCCTGCATCCTCTCCCTAATTAATCCATCTTTTCTTTCTAACTATAATGTCTTCTTCTGGTGAGTACTCACTTTACCGGCCGGGTGCACCCTTACCGCTGGTCGAGCCTGGCTGCTTGTGGCGAGCCCCGTCGCCTCGATGGCACAAACCTCCAACAGGGCTCCACCTCGCCTGAGGGTTCCACAAGCGTTGCGGACTTCGATGCAAGCACCGTCGCACGATGATCAGATGACTCTATCCGATGAGCAGCTGAAAGCCTATAACAGAAAAAGCCCTGGAACGACTTTCGTTGGTTCCCATGCGACGTACCTCTAGCATTGAGGCACTTACTTCATTTGAAGGCTTCGGGTTTCGAACGCAGCTATTCACCGCCGTCAGGCACTGTCCGGACTCTCGCGTCTTGCTATCAAGTGGTTGATCTGCTTTAGCTGGTTGTTGCGCTGATGGTACGTTCGAGGGCACGTTTTGCCGTCGATTTCTTTTTTCGTGCGTCTTGATGCTTCTCGTTGTGTGGTTGGTGTTACGAAATCTATACCAAGAAACATATCAAAATGGCTTCCAGCTATTGTACGTCCACAGTACCCACCTTCAGCTTATTGCAGTCTCCGAAAGGGCTGTTATCGTTCCGGTTCTGGACTTCCCAGAAACTGTCGGATTCCGATCGAAGCTTTAACCACTACCGAAAGCAGCCCACGCGACGATAAATTGCGCTACGCACTCTACTCGCACTCGCGACGGCCAAAAAAGGACTGTTCGACTGACACCGTTTCTTTTTTGCGTGCTGTTTACACGGCAACCTTTCCACTTCTGCCTTTTGTCGAGTCCAATGGGGGTTGGTGAGAGTGTGTGTGCGTGCGGAAACGTAGTCAGCAAAATCCCTGAAGAATGGTGTTTGCGAAATAATTTGCGATCCTTGTTCGCTTTCAAGTGATGCGTCCCATGTGGCATAGTTTCGCTGCTGCACGTTCGATCGGATCTACTCATTTTATTGTGTTTCCGACACCAGTTTAGTGCTGACCATAGGAGCAATAATACGAACCAACCTAAAACGTAACACTTCATTCGCGTGATGAGTAGACTTATCTCCAACCACTACTCGCTAGATGCTCATCTCAATAAAATAAACCTTGTGGACAGCAACATCTGTCGGTGTGGAAACGGTTACGATGACATCGATCACGCAGTTTGGCAATGTACCAGTGTCGTCGCCTTAACCTCAATCTACCTGTGCAGCAACTCTCAAAACATAAACAATTATCCAAAACATAATCAATTATACAATTAAAATATTGCTTGCAATGGATAGATATCGAGTTAACTAGAAGATTAAGTGTATTTTTCAACCGATTCGAGGCATTAAATCTGTTTTTGAAAGTTCGTGCACAGGTAAAAAGTGAGGTTACGTGACGCCACTGCAATGTACGGATAATGACGCCGCCAGAGAGCGACTTTTGAATACCCTTGAGGCCCAAGGAAGACAACTCTATGTTCCTATCAAAAACGTGTTAAGAACTCGCGAAATCTACTATATGCAGTCGGTTTATGTGTTTCTTCAAATGTCTAGTTGTTCCGATGCAATGAACCATAACACATGCGGGAGGGAATCGCCGTGGAAAACGATCTTGGGATGACACTGGAAGTGCCCTTGACGATTCCCTTGGATGGACGGATCTTCGGTGGTGGACTGTAATTTCGGATGATCGGTTCGATGGAAAGAACACTTTTGCTACACTAACTTAGCTACATTTATTGCTCTTTGCTCTAGTGTACACACTTCGAAAGTTGAATTAATACTCCTCGGTTTGTGCTGTTCTCCCTCGTACGAATCCCTACCATAGTATTCAGCGTCGCTGTTCGTAGTGTTGCCGTAGAAATATGATTGGGCGCTACCTCACTTCAGTCCTTCTGAGAACGGACGGAACATTCTCCCCCCGGTTGAGACATCGTATCAACAGCTTCAGGTACCGATGAGGGGCAAACGTTGTCCTCGATTGGAAGTACGGAGACCTTGTTGATAGGACGACGGTACGTTGATCCGTTGGTGAACACATCGATGGCCCGTACTAAACCGTCATCACCTGGATACACTGATGTGATTCGACCCAGCTTCCAACTGAGCGGGGGTTGAGTCTTGTCGTGGAGTACGACCACCATTCCAGGTCGAAGGTTTGGTGTCGTTCGTAGATTCTTCTTGCGTGGTTGGAGAGAATTGAGGTAATCCCTGGGCCACGCTCGCCAAAAATGCTCACGCATCAGTTGAAGATGTTGCCATCGATCGAGTCGGTTAACGTTGATATCTTCCAGGGACGGCTCGGCTGGAGCGATCAGCGGACGACCTATAAGATAGTGAGCTGGCGTAATTACCTGTGGATCTGCAGGATCGCTGGACACGCTGTACAACGGACGCGAGTTTAGGATGGCCTCTATCTCCGTCAGGATGGTTGCCATTTCTTCGAATGTCAGCTTCACGTTGCGTACGACTCTCTTCAGGTGGGTTTTCGTCGCCTTAACCGCCGCTTCCCAGAGACCACCGAACTCTGGTGCGTCCGGCGGAATGAAATGCCACTGTATCTCACGTGCTTGGCAGAACTGTTGGATCTTCTTCGCAGTTTGTTGATCTTGGAATTGCCGATACAACTCGTGTAGTTCGTGGTTTGCTCCGTGGAAATTAGTTGCATTGTCCGAATGAATTTGTTGGACCATTCCTCTTCGATTGATGAATCTCTTCAACGACGCTAGGAAGGCATCCGACGACAGATCGGATACGACATCCAAATGCACAGCCTTCGTCGCCATGCATACGTAGACTGCTACATACGCTTTCACAAGCTTCGGACGATGTGAACCTTGTTTCACCAGAAACGGACCGGCATAATCCACACCAGTCACTGCGAACGGAGGCGATGGTACGATTCTCGATGTCGGTAGATTTCCCATTAGCTGTTTGGTTTCATCAGGATTCGTGCGAAAACATTTCACACATGACCGTGTTACTTGTCGCACAGTAGACTTTGCGTTCAAATGCCAGTACCTCTGCCGAATGATGTTGATCAAACCGGCTTGACCGATGTGAAGATGCTCTAAATGCAATGCACTAATCAACTTTCTCGTTACAGGATCCTTGTCGGGAAGAATGAGTTGATGCTTCGCTGCAAACGGCAGTTTCGAGCGATCCAATCGCCCTCCGACTCGCAGCAAGCCGTTTTCATACACCGGGCGCAGGTTGCCCAGACGTTTGGTGACGATCACTGGAGCGAACAATCCGAGTGGATCAAACAACTTTGCCACCTCGGAGTAAATTATGCGTTTTGTGGCTGGTTTATCGGCAGGTTGCGAAAAGCTTGGTGGATTGGCAATCATGAAAATGTCGATGTTCGGATCCCAGAGCAATCCGAGTACCTTGATTACTTCGTTGGGTCCATACTCGTGTAACGGAACTTTCTTTTCTCGATCTGCAGGTGGTATGTGCTCGAGAAACTCATCCGAGTTGGAGCACCTTTTGTGGATATGAAATCCACCTCTGGCAAGCAGGGCTTTCAGCTGACGTTGGCATTCGATGGCATCTTCGAGGGTGTTGGCTCCAGATAGAGCATCGTCGACGTAGAAGTCTTCTATCAGGATCCGAGCACCGATGGGAAACTCAGAACCTTCTTCCTGGGCAAGCTGCACCAAACACCTCGTTGCTTGGTATGGTGCACAAGCTGTACCGTACGTAACGGTATTCAATTCAAGTACCCTCAACGGATGCGATGGATCGGATCGCCAGAAGTATCGCAGGAACCGCCTGTCCAGTAGCGCCGTGAGCACTTGACGGTACATCTTGGCTACATCGGCTGAAAAAGCATATGGGTACTTACGGAATCGCAGCGTAATTGATATTATTCCATTCTGCACTACTGGGCCGACTTGGAGCACTCCGTTGAGCTTGGATGGTTCGAACTTGGCGCTAGCGTCGAATACCACTCGACACTTGGTGGTTGAGCTCTAAGGACGCAGCACCGCATGATGGGGCAGGTAGTACCTACTCAGATTCGGTGGGTCATCAGCTTCTTTGATTTCCCGGCAGTGGCCGAGATCCTCGTACTCCTTGATGAAACCGACGTATTGTTGCTTGAGTTCGGGATTGCGTTCCAAACGTTTTTCGAGCATGAAGAATCGCTTGAGCGCCAGAAAGCGGCAGTTATCCAACTGGTCCACGTTATCCTTGAATGGCAGCTTCACAACAAACCTACCGGTCAAATCACGCTCGTACGTCGATAAGAAATGGGCTTCACAGGACAGCTGTTCGGGTGAAAATGGAGAAGCGTCTGGTACTTCCTCCATCTTCCAGAATTGGTGCATCAATTCCTCGATGTAATCGATCGAAGCAGAGTTGGCGTGTTGGATAGCCGCGTTCGAAACGTACGGCTCGTTTATCACTCCGGCTACCACCCATCCAAGATGAGTGTCTCGAAGTTGCGGTAGATTTGCACCTACGCTCAGGTGATCGGGCTTCAAAATGTCGAAGAAAAGCTCTCCCCCGATCAGCATGTCGACCTTCTCGGGGCAGAAGAAACGTGGATCGGCGAGTTGGATGCCGTCAGGGAATTTCCAGGTGCTGAAATCGATTCTGCTGTTTGAAATAGTTCCAGTTACCTTGGGTGTAACCAGACACTCGATGTCGGCTTGAAAGTCTCCGTAGCTCGATCGGAATTTTACGAACACTTTGTCACGAGCTAGGCTTCTCAAGGCGTTGATTCCAGTAATTGGGACGTTGGCTTTCATCTTAGGAGAACCGAGGCGATTTGCCATTTCTTCGGTGACGAAATTCACTTGTGACCCACTGTCGAGCACGACTCGACATGGATGCGGTTGGTTATGCTTATCGATGGCTTGGACGACTGCAGTAAGCAGCAAAACGGTCTTCGATGTTTGGACGTGATTGCTTGAGCATGCAGTGGACACGGGTTAATCCACCACCGAAGCAGGAGGTTGAACACTAGCTGGTGGTTTGTTGATTTCACGATTCTTTGGCGAAGCGACGTTCGCTTTGACATCCTGGCTGCTGTCCCTTTCGTTGTCATCATGTAGTAGGGTATGATGTCTTCTGCTGCACTTTCGACACGTTTTGCTGGACGTACACTGTTTGGACTGGTGTCCCTTGCGGAGGCAGTTAAAGCACAAACCTGTCGTTCGAACTTTCTCTGTCCTCTGAGTTGCTGTTAGCTGTTTGAACTCCGTGCACTGGAAGTTGAAATGTCCACTGCCACAGAATTGGCAATGACCTTGGGATGTGCTGGAACTCGTGGTGGCTGTGTTGCTCTTCAACAACGGCATCTTGCTTGTAGTCGATATGGCTTTGGGTTTGGAGATAGTTGGTTGCGCTAGCACTCGCGATGACTCACACTGCTCTAGGACTTGACACCTGGTCTTGATGAATGAAATCGTCTGTTCGTACTTCGGCAGCACTCCTCTCTGTTGGGTACGTTCCCAGGCCATTCGCGTCGAATCATCCAAGGCAGTGACGATGAGATACACCACGATGTGCTCGGAAATACCGACCAGCTCTTGCTTCTGGTACCGAAGGCTTTCGACGTGACCGGTTGCTTCGCTCAGCAGGCTATCCAATTCCTTGAACGTTGCTTTCGACATCTTCTTCAACGAAAGCAATCATCGGATGTGCGATTCCACAATCACACGCGTATTCTCGTATCGATCGGATAGCACCTTCCAGGCTTGCTGATAATTACCTTCATTGATCGTCTTCGCATCCAGTATTCCAGCAGCGGATCCAACCAGCGCTTTGTCCAGATGGTACAACTTCAGCGCTTCCGAGTCCCCAGACTGCGCCATCACGTCTTGGAAATTTGAATTTGAAAATTGAATTTCGGCCAATTAGCGTAATTGCCGTCAAACGTAGGGATTGGCGCTTTCAGTGGTTGTTGCTGGATGATGACTTGTGGTGCGGGAACAGAAAAAGTTGCAGGTTGCCATGGTGTAGCGAAGTTGATCAATTCCTGAACGCGATTTGACAACTCACTGTGACGATTCTCGAAGGAGCAGTAAATGTCATCCTGCTCATCCGATGCTTCGTCAGGAATCAAGGCCATGATCTTGCTATGGAAGTGGCTAAACTCGGTGTAGATGGCTACGAGTCTTGGTGCACTGCAGCTGGGCCAACCTCATACTTTTCTAGTCTCTCAAGGTTAACTGGATTCGCACTAGCTTCTGCTCGATTTGTCCTCTCTGCCGGAACAGACCCTTCAAGCTCCGCATCGTTTCAGAATCCATAGCCTCCTCCCAATTGAATCCGTGAAATGAACCTGATGAATTGGATCTTGAAAGCTGCCCGGTAGGCGGACCCGGCAACTCCATATGTTGCACAATTGGAACGTCTTCTGATTGTTCCGCTTGATCCAATTGTTGTACAATTGTTGCTCCTCTTGCTGCACTTGTTTCAACGGAGAATGTTCTACCGGCATTTTTTGGTTTGTCTTCAAGGTCACTTTTCCACTTCAGTTTTTTAGTTGCCTTTTTCTTACACACGCGACGCACTGATAGTTTCAACACGGATCTGGCAACGTAGCACACGCGACCTGACTAAATGTTTCGGTATGAGTTCGGCAACGATGCACTCTCAATAGGATTGATTGATTCGGCACTAAATTGGCAACGTTGCACACACGACGCAACTGTACATGACCTTGTACACGCACGCACTTGTTTTCGACTCGTTCGGATTTAGCAAAATGGCGTTCACTTTTTGTCTTTTGCGACGGCGGACGATTGCGGACCGCTCACTACGCGGCGCATACGAATGTGTGTACACAGCACCAGCAGCAAGAGAAACTCGTTTTCGTTTCGTTTCGTGTAGCAACGATGTGTTCGCTCGGGATGATTAGGCTTTTCTCCTGGCAGGAAACCTCTCGTAGACTGGGTACCGCCTCTTCGTGGGCAGCTAAACCTTGGCTGCATTCCCATCCGGTTCGAAGGACCAAATTATGTTCCGATGCAATGAACCATAACACATGCGCAAGGGAATCGCCGTGGAAAACGATCTTGGGATGACACTGGAAGTGCCCTTGACGATTCCCTTGGATGGACGGATCTTCGGTGGTGGACTGTAATTTCGGATGATCGGTTCGATGGAAAGAACACTTTTGCTACACTAACTTAACTACATTTATTGCTCTTTGCTCTAGTGTACACACTTCGAAGGTTGAATTAATACTCCTCGGTTTGTGCTGTTCTCCCTCGTACGAATCCCTACCATAGTATTCAGCGTCGCTGTTCGTAGTGTTGCCGTAGAAATAGGATTGGGCGCTACCTCACTTCAGTCCTTCTGGGAATGGACGGAACACTAGTATAAGAATTTAATTCCTTTGTCTTTTGTCTCTCTTTATTAATTTTTGTTTGTCTTGTCCCCCCGTCTCGATGAGTCTCATCGTCGCCCACTGGTCACTTTTGAGTTCACACAATAGAATATATAATACTAGTCATTAAGATACTTTCTCCAGAATTATAAAAAACACGTCTTACTCGGAGTACAGTCAAAAGACAAAGAAACCGATCAATAGCTTTAATTCCGCTTCAGCATACAATTACATTTTATATCGTTTTCTCGATTATCGTTCATCTGTCATGCATGTTCGAGCGATTTGGACGATTCTACCGAACATAACAGTTCTCCCTCCTAAAGATTGAACTCTAAATTTATCAGAATTGTACAAACAATGAGAAATAATTAAATCAAACTAATCGAACTCATGATTTGCACATGAATAGATCTACATCAAATATCCGAAAATCTTCAGTTCATTAACACTTCATTACATTCTGAAATCATTTCAATAACTTCAAATATTCTTCTTCTTCTTGTTCGCATTTCAAGCTTATTGCTTAGCGCATATTAGCTTATTGCGTGTCTCAACTTAGTGTTCTAAATGCACTTCCACAGTTATTAATTGAGAGCTTTCGATGCCAATACCAATGCATGAATTTGTATATTGTGTGGCAAGCATTGATCGTGTGACTGCCAATAGAAATAGTGAAAACATTTGGTGAGAATCTTTTAACATAATGTGCATCAATCCATTTCTCAAAAGCATGCTTGTCGTTATTTTTATACAAGATTTTATCACCTAAGGCTAGTTTGGTAAAAGGATCTTGGGAGGGCGTACTGGTGTCAACGAAAGGTTTTTCCCTCCTGGAAGGAGCTTCAAGATAATCTTTATAACTACGCTTAGGATGTAAAAGGTCAACTAAAATTTTTGGTTTGAATCTAAATAATTTTTCGGATGGGAATCTATTGTCCAAAGAACACGTATTTCTATAGTTAATTAGAAATAATGTAATGCGATCCTCAATATCAAGAGATCTTGTCTCAGGGTCTAAAATAAACTTTTTCAAAACATCTTTTACTACCCGCACCATTCTTTCCGCTTGCCCGTTACTGCTGGGGTTATATGGAGGGCTTTTCATAACCCGTATTCCCTGTCGTTCAATGAATGAACAAAAATGAGCTGAGTTGAATGGTGGACCACCATCTGTTACTAGGACATCCGGGAGCCCAAATCGCGCGAAAGTAGCCGTAATTTTTGTTATTACCTTGTTGGCATCTGTTCCATACTGCAGCTGAGTAGTTCTATTTCCAACCATTTTGTATAACTATCCACTATCAATAAATAAGTTTTAGATTGGAAAAAGAAAAAATCAGCATGAATACGGCTGAATGGGCGTGTAGTTGGAGTCCATGAAGTGTTACACACAACTTTATGATATGCTGCAGTTTTTAAACATGACTGGCATTGTTTTACATAGTTTTCAATTTCTTCATTCAT